CAGCCCCTCATCCAGCACACCTGAAGACTCTGTGTCAGTTTGCTTACATAAATCCTAAAGGACTGCAAGTACTTGCAGTTTCAGCACAGGCAATGGAAAGTTCACAGAGTTTTAAAAGACATCTATGCGGGCAGGACATCAGTTACAGGATACTGTTAAAACCTGAGTAATAAGCTCCAGGAAGATGACAAGCTCAAAGGTATTAAGATGACAGTTTTAGACACAGCCATTATTCAAATAGCTTTCTGCCACTGAGGGAAATTTATTAGAACTTTCAGTGTGATCGTCGCAATATGTAAATTGGACTGCTCAAATGAGGATGTATGGTGATGATGTGTGGTACGAATCGCCAGCTAAGAATTGGAAGTGGGGATGAAGAAAATGACACGATTACTGTGGTCAGGCATTCTGAAGGCCTTGGTTAACAGAATGAGCAAGATGTACTACATCAAAAAAACCCTCTAGAATATAGTTGTTCAAGAATAATAATAATAAAGCATCTGTCTTAAGTACTGAACTATGGAACATAGTATATCAAAAACAGGTTATTAGACACAGACACAAAAAGACAGGAAAAATAGATGAGTCTTATGGCCAACAAAATAGAGATTTTGCAAACAGTAAAACTATCAGATTCATGTTCCTAAATGGTCACTGTTTCATCTGTATTGCTGTTCAGATGTGAAGAGCCATTTAAAAAGAGCAAGTGATTATACATTTGAGAAAAACAGGCAACGTTAGCACTACACTACCAGACAGGTCACTGGGCACTGTTTATTTATTCTTTTAAAACACTTTTTTTTTCTTTTAATCTTCTATAAGGAAAAAAGCAGAGTTCTTTTAGAAAGCAAGTCTACCTCATTACTAAAAGTTAAGGTCTACAGTGTGAGAAAGCACTTCAGTTTTAATGAGATTGAAACACATGCAGTTATAGTCATCCAGGGACTAGCAGATCCTCTCTTCTTACTAGTCAGACACCTTAACAAACCTCTATTTTCAGAAAGTGCCAAGTATTCTTGCCTTCAGAACAGCCTCAAAATCACCTGATACCTTGTCACTGTATCAGCATCTGACCTTACACACAAGACGAGCACTGACCACCACTGTTGTACTTGTGTATGACCAAGAATCCCACTGACCACAAGCTGTCAGGAAGCTACATGCTGAACTGGACAGATAGTAACCGTGTAGGTACTTAAAAGACTCCCCACAGCCAAGCAACTGCAACCAGAAGGAAAACACACTGCAAAAATCCAGTGGGAGCTGCAAAACAGACATTGTCCAGATTACAAACACAGTTTACATTTTGCAGAAACAGTCACTTTACAGATCTTTAAAAAGTGGAAGAGGCATGCTGGAGTACTATCAAGTCACCCCAGTCAACAGAAGAACCACCAGATTTGAAGTTACAGTGTGAAAATACAGACACACCTCACCAGTTACTTCATGACTGTGTCATTTCTGCTGGATGCTTCCCTCATCATCTAGGTTACATTTCAGCTGGCCACTTTAAACCCATACATGTGTGTCAACACCACATGGATCAAGCAAAACAAATTAAGCAGAGTTTTACAGCATCCAAATACACTGCTGTTCAGATCACTTCCTCGAACAACAAGGATGCCAACATGGGTTTCTATCCCACCACAGGAGAGTTAACCCTCAAGGCAGATTAGCAATCACACAGAAGCTTTCAAGTTCTCAAAGGATGAAAAACAGACACATTTAAGGGCATCTAATCTATCCTTGCCAGGGTCCAACAGACATATCACTTTCCTGTCCCTGGCACCAAGATCAAGGCTGCAGGCTGAGAATCAGCATTGACACCTGGCCTGTGTCCGCAGCAGACAAGGGCAGTACACCACAAACCTCTCTGGCAAGCTTCGCATACACCTGGATCCACTACAGAAGGGAGGAATTTGAATAATCTACCTGCAGTGGCTCACTGAAGAGCTGCTCATGGTAACTGGAAGTGACAATGACAGTTGTGCAAGTAAACAATGGCTGTCTTTCCTTAAGGTGAGAGGGACTAGATATCTTTTGGAGTAAAGCTGGCCCTGCACTTTAAAATGCTGTGTCTAAACACAGAAAGCTATTGAGGCTTTTGAATGATTGTGCCATTAAAAAAGCCTATGTAACAGGGGAGTATTCATTTCAGTCTAACATTTTAGGCTGGAAAATAGGGGATATAGCTATAGCATCTGTGTATTCTTTGAATTGCAACTAGCAAATTCTGAAATCTGGTATCCAGTTGTCTGGTATGTAGTTCCACCTTCCAAGTAAAAGCAGTGGGTTTATTCTAGGTACATTCCAGATTCAGTCTTCAATGGCTTTACACTCACAGAAGCGTGAAAGAGAAGTAATATTGAAGGGCTCCCAAGAAAGATCAGGCAGGATCTGCTATGGCCCCAAAAGAGAGAAACTGCTGCCTTGGAAGGAAAAAAATAAATAAATAAATAAAAATTTAAAAAATCAACCACAGTATCTGTTGGTATCCCTAAAAAAAAAAAAAAAAACAACAACAAAAAAAAAAAAAAAAAAAAAAAAAAAAAAAAAAAAAAAAAAAAAAAAAAAAAAAACAAAAAACACAACAAACCCACAGTAATTGAAGATGTAGATAACTACACTTTTGACACTTTTGCAAATGGCTCACAACCCTGTTTTTCTGCCTTAACAGAAAGGGTCCTTTTACAGTGCACCACACAAAGCTAAGAAGAGAAGAAACTTTACAGTATCTACTACTGAAAACAAAGTAGACTATATGCCCTGGTGACTGGCATAATTCAAATTAAATAAATCAATTACAGTAGTGAAATACCTTCCAGTCTTCTTCAGACAGGTATAAAATAATTTAATCCAGACTAGAATATTGCAATATAAGAAAGTTATTTCATAGTGGTGTTTGGCATAACTAATCCCAGCATGATGGAGGTTGAGAAAGTAACTTGTTCTGTGAACAAGTTCCTCTGAGGGCCATATTCACACAGCCTAAATTACACTCAAGTCCCTGTACTTTGTATTTTCTAAAACTGGACCATGGTTTAATAACATATTGAAGTCCCATGAGTTGCTTTTTCAGTGGTTGCTCCATCACCAGCTCTGTCACCACTGACAAAACACAAGGAACTTAAGTGATTTTAATCCATCTCTTGATGAAGTTACATGATGGGACTTCTGGGATCATCTTCTAAACACAATGGTCAGTGACTACTACTGCACTACTGCCTACCTGCCTTTCTACAGTTTTCAACAAATGTCTTTTTTTTAAATTATTTCTCTGAATCCCTGTCATCGAAAAGAAAGATGAGTAAATGCATATTCCCTTTAGAACACAATTAAGCAGAGCCTGTACACTCTCAATGCTGAGATCTCAGCTGTGAATCTCCAGGAACATCACAGCAGTCTTGTATGTTGCAACCTAGGGCTGAATGGGAGAAAAAATAATAATAATAAACAACACCTTCAGCTTCAATCAGCAGCATGTTCCAGGATCACAAATTGCTACTGTGTATGAAGAAGGATCTGAAATGCAAATGATCAAAAGGCCATTAGAGACATTAAAGATTTAGCAGACGTATGTTCATCCTGTTTTTATTGGAGGGAATAGAGACATTAATTCCAAAGAAATAGATAACGAAATACAGTTACCATAGTCATCCTTTCACAGAATAGTTATGTGTCTCATTAAAATACTTATCATATCTACTGCCCAATCTTTAATGTTTCATGTGGGCAAAAAAGTATTAAAAATAAATATTCCCCATTCAGATCTAACTTTAATGACTGTTATTTACATCATTTTTGCTTATAGGATGGAAAGCTACTCCAGAGTTGTCTTACCACAGACTAACCTTCAGATGACTTTCCATTCAACTTGGACAGGCCATACACTCTCCTCAGAGGGAACGAGCCTTCAAGATTCTTTTGCTGCCTACGCCAGCATAGCATCAGGACTGAACAGGGTGATCTTGTAATACAGATTTGCAATTGTAATTCTCCAAAGCAGAAAGAGGATCTAAACTTATTCTTCTTCAAAGGGCATTCCTGGCATTTACTGCTGCAAAGGCATAAAAATAATCCTTATTCATAAATCCATCCAATAAATACCTACGCATATCTGTGAACAACTGGAAGAATTTTCTTGGGATTGCTTTAATTTCCATATGTAGTCATCTTTATGATCAGTGTAATAAAGGTTAAAAACCCTACTTTTCAACTAAAATTGGACCTAGAAACTTCTATTTTCAGTCTGCAGGCTTTGGGACTGTATTATTGTCACAGTCACATCATGTTATTTCCACCAAAACAGCTGGAGGTTTCCAGTGTAGGAAGCAATTATTATGAAAAGTGTCAATGTGTCATTCTCCCCAAGTCAAATGTTTAACTTCACGTTATAGCATTTGACAAGTATCCAGCTCTTAGTCTACACCAAGAAAAAGGAAAAAGGAGAGCGAGCCTGTGTGCAAGTCACAAGAGAAAAGAACAGTTTACTCACTGCTATGCAAGCAGATTTTGACATTGCTGACTGATGCCACAGTCGTGGTGCATTTCTAGAGTTTAATTGCTTTGGCAGAAGGCAGGCTTAGGTTTGTATGCATGAATGAACACACTGTTTGCCTTGACCCAACAATGCATATACAAAAGGTGTCAGTCTAAAACAACATGCTAAATAATTACATGTTCAATAAGCAGTGCAAGCATTTTAGGAAACAATAGTCACAATTCATGGCAGGGACAAGAGAAAATGTCCTGCCTGTCACATGCACAACAAGAAACAGTTCCTCTGTGATACCTTTCAGGCCTAAAAGGCTCAATTTAACAACAGGGTCCAAGGACCACACACATGCCTGCACATTCCTGGCACCACGTCTTCCCAGGGTATGTCCACACAGAGGAACAAAGGTGTGGTTGTAACCTCAAGCAGGTATGTCTGTTAGCATATGGTATATCTACTAGCTGAATCCATGCAGTCTGAATAGTTGCGTTAGTAAACAATACAGCACAAAACTAGACAATAACAAGCCAACAACTGGGCTACACGTTCCCAAGAGCAAGCATAAGTGCCCTCCTCTACGTCCTCCCCACATCTGCTGGCGAGTAGGCATGGTCAGCCCTCCTTCGAAGGTACAGACATAACCTTGATGCCTCTTCCTCCAGAGGAAGCAGGCTAGCCAGCTCTGGGTGGCCACAGCAGCCTTGGCTCATGCCAAAGTCAGTATATCCCAGTGAAGGGGTTCTCTGGTTCACAGTCTCAAACTATTGACTCGGACTGCCTGCACAGGCCCTGGCCCAAAACTCAAAGCTCTGTGGATGTCCCCTCCTTTCAGGAACCTGCACAAGTCAGACAGCACACCAAAGAATGAAGTCCACAGGTAGCAAAAACCACTCCAACAGCTTGGAGCGCCAATATCTTGTTCTCCCATTACTCTCTGGCACCACAAGGACCATGCTATTAATTTTGAAGCTAACAATTTGTGAAAGTGTTTTGAGAGGAGGCAATAAAAAAAAAAAAGGGGGGGGAAAGCACTTCAATACTTTTAAGCTGGAGTTAAGACAAGGAAGTGATGCAAAACATATGAGATCTGAATCCCAGTTCTGCTTAGAACAAGAATCTCCTGTTAGTACAGTATATTCTCCAGCTACGCCTAGTATATTAAATTAATGGAAACTCTGAGCTTTAGCATATGTTTAATAGCTACAGTCTGCTTTCTTGAGCAGTGATACAACTTTCATACTGTATACAAAAAACCACATATGGATACATTTATGTATGTCAAAAATATCCATGCAGGCTTTGATATTACTCAACAATATATATTGTCCATGGTCAAACAGTGCTTTAGGCTACACTAAGCAACACAGAAGTAAGTTGGTGAAAAGCATCCCAGTTCCTCAGAATCTAGCAAAATCTTTTTTAAAAAAATAAAAATAAAAATTTAAAAAAAAAAAAAATCAATCATCAGTCAGGAGAAAGATGTTCTTCCACAATCAGACTGAGTCCAATAAGCCTTTGCTCCTCCAACAGTAAAGCCAAGGCACCACCCTAGAACCCAGACCTCTTACACACACAGCTGTAAAAGGCTGTGGGACACAGCAGGACACTGGGCAATTTCTCAGTTGTGTTTCAGTCTACAAACCAAGTGTCACTAACTAGACTAGGCACGTTTGGATAACCCTCAGTGACAAGAGCCAAGGCAAGAAACTCAGGGTCTAATCCTCAATCTGTGCCACCCAGAAGGAGGGTGACATCATTTGCACATTTGGAAGGTGCTACATATTGAAATACATCAAGAATTAAATGTTGTTGCCAGTGCACTAAAATAACTGTGGAAGTGTAATTGCTTACTCAGAAAGTTCATCAGACAGATGTGGGGAAATCACAGACGCTTTTCAACCATGGCATGCAGTTGCACAGACACTGTGTGGACACATCTGAAGCAGCTATCTCTGTAAACCGTACTGAATTTGTGTTCCTAAGAGCCAGCAGCATTGGGCAGTTACGTATTGCATGCTCAGCCACAGGAACACCATCCACTTTTCCTCCCGTGACACCGGCAGCTGAAGCGAAACACTGTCCCAGCACACCAGACACCACACCAAGGCTGTACCACAGCAGCGTACGAAAGGAGAAGCAGCTCTATGGGGGTAGAGGGCTGGGGGGTGCTGCCCAGGCGGCACGGGGACCTCTGCAGGCCTGGGGCAGCTCTTCCCAGAGGGAAGTGGGACCCAGCCCAGCCCAGAGACCCCCGGCTGCCAGCACGGCCCGCTGTACAAACACACCCACACCCACCAGCGCTCCAGAGAGATCTACACACACTCGAGAGGCTTCTGGGCAAAGTGTTGGCACACCATATGGAAACAGCGCCATGGAGAAGCATCAGCTACACTTGTGTTGGGAAGAAAGGATAAGTGTGTCCACCTCCGCGTGGGGACGGACACAAAAAGCAGGGATGTGAAAGGGCAAAAGCATTCACTGTAATCCATCCTCTCCAACTCAACACACAAGACTTACAAGGACAGTGATACCACCCCAGAAGCAGAACAGAGAACATGGCCACAAGGAAAAAAAAACAAACCAAACCAACCCCCCCTCAAAACATAATACCTTCAAGCACTTCTATCTTAGCAATACAAACAAAAATGCCTCATATACATAGTGGATTGCAGTGTGGGAGGAAAACAATAGGCAATGTTGTTGTGATCGGATATATGCCACCTACTCACCCAAATATGCCAAAAGGATATGACATTGTCCTAAAACCAGGGTTCATACCACAGTGTCTAATGGCTGGCTGTGAACAAGCTTCATCAGTCTAGTACTTCTTTCTCCTTCTGCACATAATATGCAGATATTTTTAAAGCAAACCCACATCTACTCATGATAGGGCTGCAAATACCATCTCTGAATGAATGAAAGCCTCTTTTCTGTGAAATTATAATTTGGAACATATATTTTACAGTATTGACAAATTCAGGAAGGAAGCCATAATGGAAATAATTAATGAGTCGTTAGCAGGAAAGGCCAACTCAGGGCATCAGGGCAAGAGAGCAACTCTGCAATGACACAGACCTGGCATTCACACCCCAAGACTAAACTTCTGCACATATCAGCTGAAACCAATGGTAAATGTTTATGGCCAACATGGTGCCACTCCTAGGCAAAGGCTACAAGAGGTTAATACCCAGATCTGTTCTACAGAAGATCTCTAGAAAGCTCAGCAGAGAAAAACATCCCTTTGTGCAGTAAATTACAGAGAATTAGATCTACACGGTAGCATGACTGCATATGCCTTACACTTAGATCTCAGTCTCTGCTGCCTTTACAGTGTGTCACTCCTGCACAGCTCCATGGGCCCTGGGGGCAGCACAGGTTTTGCAGCCACAGTCGTGTTGGTGAGTACATATTCCCCGACCCTAGGAACTCACTCCCAGCCATTTTCCTACAGCACCAACCTCAAATGGATTCAGTTCTCTCTGTTTTTTGATGTAGGAGGCTCCAGACTGAGATTCAGGTCACAAGAATTTCCCATTCTGTCCCACTCCACCCACCTCCGGACCTCAAGGAAAACTAGGAAGAAAGGGGGGGACGGGACGACGACCAAAAGGGAGATGAAGTAACCTCCGAGGAAAAAACAAACAAAAAAAATCTCAGCTTTGCGTTCTGCAGCTCTAACTTCATGTCTGTTCAACTGCAGGATGCTGAAGGCAAAACAATAGAGTACTACTGCCACCTCGTGCTACATGAAATCTCTACAAGCAAGGGTTTTCTTTCTGCTTTCCTCGTTTTTTAACCCACAAAACCAGAACCAACACTTGTGTTAGGATGTTCGAAACAGAGGGCGAGCAAACAGGCGGGCTCTGCTCTCCGGGGCCGGGCACTGCCCCCGCCACCCCCCCAGCCACAACAGGTGTCAGCTCTCCCCACTCCCCTGGAACCAGAAGGCACCTTTATCATCACTGTTCAGTGGTGTAATAGCAGTGGCCTGTTATTCATGAAATTAAGCTCGTCACACATATACAGCATGGCTCAGGTCTCACTGTCCTGCCCGAAGGGAGGCCAACAGCCTCCATAACCCCTGCTCCTTGACAGTAATCAGAGGTTTGGGTTCTTGCTGAAAGTAAACCAACTGACTCAACACCAGAGCTTACTTCACAAGGACTGCTGGGCTGGCAAGGTTTGGGTTTGTTTCCATGCTCAATCACAGTTTGAATAAAGTCATATTCTTATGGAGGGATTTTTGCAGCACTGATTTCCCAGAAAGGTATTTAAAGGGGATGGTACTGCATGGTACTCCAGATCTTTGGCAGTCATGTACAGCCCTTTCTGGAACAGACCCATATGATTTATTACAGATTAAATTGAACAGTTTCTTTATAAACAACATACAAAAGCCTATAAAATGACAATAGAAAATCATAGATATTCTACAGCATGTTTGAACAATCCCTGAAAGCTTAACAGAGGCAGATTTGAAAATTCTGAAGGAGAGAACAGTTTTTCACAAGAACACACTCCAGAAGAAAGGATATCTGAACACAAAATTAATACATTTTAACAGAATCATTTGTCTCATTGATAGTTTTGACAGGGTGTACTTTTAAAAGTGTGTTTGTTATTTACTTTTATCCCTTGTTTCTGAGATCAATTTCAACTAAAAACTAATTTAAAAAACACATAGTTGCAATTGTTCTCCCACAGCAGCTTAGCATTAACACAAAAATTATACTTTTGCCCAAAAATGCCAGAATGTTTTCACATATTTTAAATCTTAAATGCTATCACATAGATAGGAAGGCAGGCAACTGCTCAAACAGAATATAAAGGAAACTTTCTCAGAGAGATGGGTACTCATTTCTGAGCCACCCTAGAGGCCTGCCACAGGAGGGTCTCCAGATTTTCTTGACCCCAGGCAGGTACTGGAAAGCACCTTCAAAGCTAGCTTTATGGCTACCCTCCACAGTTCTTGCATCAGAAAATCCTCCACTGTCAGAAATGAAACTCTGAAGGCCATTGCCACAGGAACCTTCACAGAATTGGCCGTCTCCTCATGTAAAATTCTGTTTGTCTCATCTGACCAAAGGATTGGCTCTATCCAGATTTATTACTTACCCAAAACAGACCCTGGGCTGCTCTGCCCCTTCTTCTTTCACAATACTATATACAAAAAAACAACCTAAACCTAGAAACTGTTACAGATTGAGGTGTTTGATGTTTTCCTTCCTGCCATTCCCCTTCCTTGTTCTGTGCTAGACACTGACATTCAGCAAGACTTCATGTATATAACAAAGATCTGTACAAACTAGTAGCTTTACTTCAGTTTTGTTACTTCTAGCTCTTTACCTGTTCTGCTAATTCACCACTATTTTTTCCTATTCCTTTTCCTCCCTTACCAACACTATCTTCTCTTTTCCTCCCCCATATGCTGTTTCTGTACTTCAGAAAAACAGCATTTAGGCATGTGAAGTTGGGCAGAATGAATTGGGGTGTACTGAGTAGGGACATCCTCATT